GTGCATGGAACAGTTGTGTCACTGCCACGATCAGGAAGAAAACGCAAGCTATCACATGCTGCCGAGAGGAGATTGCCGAGAGGAATGGCTAAACCAGGCTAGAATTAAGGTTTTAGAATGGCCTTCCCAAAGTCCTGACTTAAACCCCATTGAGAACATGTGGACAGTGCTAAAGAAACAGGTTCACGCAAGAAAACCATCACATTTAGCTGAACTGCACCAATTCTGTCAAGAAGAGTGGTCAAACATTTGACCTGAAGCTCTCATGTATAAAAACAGGCTGAAACATGGCATATGGTCAAGTCAACAGAACAGGGTATGCACACATCAAACCTGATGTATTAAATTGTATGTCCGCCAGAATCCAAGCACACTTTTCTTTTGTACATCCTACTTAACGTGGAACTGAGCACACGTGAGACACCTCTGCTGACACGCCTCCATTTAAATATGTTAAAGAGATGCTAATTATTTCCAGTCTGTGTGATGGACATATTTGCAAGATTGGAAATTATACTAGATGCAGGGAAATGATGAATTACCGTATTTTTCGGACTATAAGCCGCAACTTTTTTCCTGAACTTTGAACCATGCGGCTTATAATCCGGTGCGACTTATAAGTGGATTTTTTTCTTCAGCCACCAGGGGGCTCTTATGCTCCATTTGCTTCAACCACTCGCTTCAAAAAAAAGAAGAAAAAAGAAAAGAAAAAAGCGATCGCTTCCAGAGCCGACTGTTGTACCAGGAAGCAGCAATTTAAAGATAGTCAATGGCCAAAAACTAAGAAAAGGGGATAAAACAGACATTTTTCACGGTGGAATCTGACTGATAAAAACTTTGGAGCTTAATCCAGGACCAGTTTGTGGATAAACGTCGAGTGAAGAGCTGCTGACTTTTTTTCCGGCATTGCACTCCCCGGGGAAGGAATCCCATCCAGTGACGTATGCTGGAGCGGGAGGGCTTTCCCAGCAACTGGGCTCTGGGTTTCTCGGGGGAACTATGAAAGGTCAGTGCGAAAACAAATGCCGAACGATCATGTGACGGCACGTCGACCGGTCAGCAGCTGAGCGACCATACTGCCAGCTTAGCCAGAGGTTTAGCACCATTTTGTTTTAGCTAGTAGCAGACACGACACGACGGATCTTCGACAGACACGATATTGGACAGTATGCGGGCCCACATCAYGGATTCGGTGAAAGCAGCCATCAAGAAAACAAACTCAATTCCTGCTGTTATTCTTGGAGGTACAACAAAGTTTTTGCAACCCCTGGACATCAGTGTGAATCGTGCATTTAAAGCACCACTCAGGGCTGAATGGGAGGCTTGGATGACTGACGGGGATAAATCCTTCACAAAAACTGGCCGAATGTGAAGCGCGTCATTTCCTGATGTCTGCCAGTGGATCCTAACAGTGTGGAGCAGGGTGAATGAGTCCACCATCACCAATGGGTTCCTAAGGGCTGGACTGCTACGTGACGAGGACACCACAGCTTCAGAGCCAGCATTACCCCGGGAGGACAACAGATACCGCTGTGTGACGCAGCTTTTCTCAGCTTGTTTAACTCCGACACTGAAGAGGAGGACTTCGATGGTTTCAGTGCGCCTGAGGACGATGAATGAGACGTTTTGTTGGACCAGAAACTGTTAAAGAAAACTACCAAAATAAGGTCAGTTATACAGTATGAACCGTATTCCTTCAAACTTTAATTCTTAAAGGTTTGCTTTTTATGTTTTGATGTTGAATTCACTTTTTTGATGACAAATTTGGGTGTACTGGGTTTTTTTTTTTTATATTGGGGGTGCGGCTTATAGTCCGGTGCGGCTTATATGTTAATGTTCGCGGGGTTTTTTTTTTTAAATGGTGGGTGCGGCTTATAGTCCGAAAAATACGGTAAATGTAATGTGAGTGAGAAAAACTTCCTAAATAAGTGCTGTTTAATGTGTTTGCATCAATTCCAGAAAAGCAGCTGGGCCTGACTGAGTGACAGATCGGGTCCTGGAGGTCTGTGCAGAGCAGATGACAAAGGTCGTCACAGACACTTTTCAATTCAATTCAATTCAAAAATACTTTATTGATCCCAGAGGGAAATTTTGTTTTGGTTTTAATCACTCCTCAGTTTCATGTCAACTTCCCTTACGTCAAAATTAGATTTGATTCTATTTTTGTCAGAGTCAAACAACAAAGATGAAGTCACACCAACAGGAAAAGAAACAAGTACATTCGTATTTTCAAAATAATTCACCAAAAGCAGACTAAATTTTGTTGAAATTCCAACTATATTAATAAATATATCGATATATTTATACACAAATGCTGCCAAAACGTATCATTCTGTTTGGGAAGCAGATGGTAACATGTAGCATGCAGCATTCATTTGAACACTATTTGCATGGATTTTATTTTTAAATCAGAGGTTTCAAAAAGACGACAGGGAAGCAGTTTTAGAGTCTATTGCTCTACACACACTGACCACTCTCTTTCCTATCAAACCAACTACATCTAGTAACTTACAGACAACACAACAGTAGCTGTGTTTCCATTCAATTGTAATTTTGAGTGAATTTTAAAAATTTTGCAAAAAAGGAAAGAACGAATAAATGCGAATCAGACGTGTTTCCATCACCAATTACGTCAGACGCATGCGTGTCGTAAACAGAAAGTAAAAGTCGCATCTCAGGAAAATGGAGAGAAGTTATCAGGAACGTGTTGCTACTATCTGGAAAGTTTTATTTATCGTGTCATATCAATGAGTTCTGGCAATTTTACATGCTGTCTGGAAACGTAGAGAAAGAAATGCGGTTCTCTTCACGTTACGGGAATAAATGAAGATGCCGACAGCTGGAGGAGGGTCCAGCTGCAGTCGCTCTGGCACCAGATAAACAGTGAGAACAGCTGATCAACATGTGAGGTAAACGTTCGCTACGTCAGAACTGATTTGGCTGACTCTCCTTTTGGGCATTAACTCTTAAAAAAAACACACCTCAAGCGAGCGCATCAACTTTTAAGCGAATTAGAGGAAGTTTGTTTCAATCATGCTGTTTCCATTCACCTTTTCTGATGTAATACTTCAAAATGTGCATTAAAAAACATTGATGGAAAGACGGCTTGTGTTTGGTCTAATCACTGATGTGGAGTCTGTATTCGGGAGCAAGTTGGAAAGTCTAGGTGTAAGGATCCCAACCTGCCTTTGCATTTAAAAACAGTGATTTCGGACTTCCAAAGGTCTGGTCATCACCATCCTCACATCAAATTAGAGGTGGAGCAGATCTCCAGGTTTAGGTTTCTGAGTCTGACTGTGATAACGTTTATTTTAAAGGCCTGTCAACTTAGAAGAAAACACTGAGGAATGTTTGTCTGTTTGTTTGTATTTGTTTTATTGTGTCTTGTAAGTCCATGCGGGCTGGGCACATGTCGGAGTGCATGACACGTGTGAAAATAAAACTACTACTACTCCTACATAATCTGTCATCAGGAAAGCTCAGTTTTCTACCTGAGGGAACTAAGAAAACCTGCCACAGCGTATGTTTGTGAACTTTAACTGCTTTACAGTCGAGTGTTGGGCTGTGTGACGGTGTGGTTTACCAACGGCACCAAAGCAGAACAGGTGGGCATACAGCGTGTGATTAGAACTGCTGAAAGAATCATCTGTGTACACTTGCCACACATCAACACCTTCCTTGTCCTGCTGCCTGCATTTCACAGGCCACGCCCTCAAAGACACGTCACACCCTGCCCACCATCTGTTGCAGTCGTTACCATCAGGTTCAGATCAATCCATATAAACGTCACCAAATTCACAAACAGGTTGCTTCCACAAGTCATGAGACTTCTCAACACCTCATTAATTCCTCCCCCAGCCCCACATGTGCACATTATCATAATGTGCATGCAGATTGTTTTTAATGTACCAACTAGTAATCTGACTGGCTTTTCTTAACCTTCATATCATTTTTTAACATTGATTCATTTTATATTGATATCAGGTCTCTAAAATCTAAGCCATGACAATAAAGACCCTGAATATATGTAAATTAGAGTGCATGGTGGTGTCAGAAAGTGATTATTTAGGCTAGTTTATGCAGGGTTCTAATGAATAGATGTGAAGATATTAAATGATAGCATTGTTGTGTTTTTTCTGCGTGTTTAGCAGTGTGTATTTTCACTCAATATGCTAAAAACAAAACTGTGAAACTTACCAATTTTCTGATTGAAAATTTTATCAAACGTCAGTTCGTCTCTCTCCTCCAGGTACTTCTGCATAACACTTCGAATGCTGCAATGACAGGAAGGGTGGGGGAGGGGAAGAAAGTGAATAATGTGCATGACTACAACTGGCTTAATCAGCTGCATGCAGCACAGGCCTCCCTGCTCCTCCAGCTCCCGCTGAGATCCTGACCCAGGTTTGGAACTCTCCCTGCAGCCTGTCCCCTGACGGGAGCAGAGCCACAGGCAGGGACACGGGAGGATTCTGCGGGAGGGAGTCTAGAGAGATACAAGCTGCTTTGGGAATAGGTGTTAATGAGAATAAGACTTGGAAGAATGAATCAATTAGCACCACCCTCATAGGCCTATTAACACTTTATCAGCACCTTACACACAGGACAAGAGAGCAAGAGCAAAGCATCACCTGCAATTACTGCAGCAAACACACACTGAGCACTTGCAAGGCAAGCGTTTGGCTTCGGTGACTGAGTTCACCTGTAACTGCTTTTTTTATTTGTGTAGCATTCTTAAGTTTTGATTAGGGCTGCACGATATATCGAAAACGCATCGTCATCGCGATAACAGCCTGTGCAATATGCATATCGCATAAACTGCCATAAATGGTTGGCTCAAAAGTTAGCATTTTCGAGTTGTCACTCAGACGGAAGTTTGAAGTATTTCACCAATCAAATAGAGCCCTTAAGGCTCCCACATACTCGGGTGTACTTTGTAGCGCTGGGCGGTAGGACCCAAATTTTATATCACGGTACTAACATTTACACCTGTTTCACAGTATATCACGGTGTTTTCCTTTTCATCACAGGTCAGCTGATATTAAAATGTACAAACACTGTTTATTAATTTTTGTCTTTTACTGTACCTTTCCCTCCTCTATGTGTCTTTTCTCTGACTGGTGGTTGGAGACAGTAGTCACGCATTTTGGTCCGGTCGTGAAGGAGAAGGGTTAAGAAAATATTATTATCGGTTCTATAGTTTTATGTTATTTAATAAAGATTAACAGCACAACTCACCTTGCACACTAGTCAACTCAACTCTACTACAAAACTTCTTCCCCCCGGCTTTTCACAATAGAACCACACTAAAGTCTCCATGCGTCTCCACGTCTCCATAATAACCTTGCGTGTTTTATCTAACTGGGCACTTCACCGAAGAGGTGTTTTGTTTATTACATTCAGTGATGGCGAAAACGGGATGTTTTTTTTAACGTCAGTCAATGTAAGCAGCTGAATCGCCACCCGCCACTGCAACAAACTGCTCAACAATAATATTAGCATGCTAACGCACATAGCGGTACTGCGAGAAAAAGTGTCCCCCAGGAAACAGTTCATTGGCGGCCGTGATGAAATGTTCCACACGTGTTCAGGCTATTTATACCAGTTTGTCGGTATTCATAAAACTCATATAACAAAAATTAAAACCGGTATTCGGTACGAAACAATATACCGCCCAGCACTAACTGTGTGCGGTCCGTGAGCCACGTGGACTCCACACATATTGTCCGGATATTTGAGACTTCATACTCTAGCGTACTTACCGCCTGACAAATTCTTTAATTTCTCGCAATTTCAGTCATGATGTCAAGGATCAGGAGGAAGAGATAGTTTGCATTTTAGCTTTAAAACAATAAAAGAAAAAAAGAACAGAACTATCTTACCTAGGATCTGAGCTATTTCCTCGCACAAATTTGTTGCTCGCTGAAAGTCTTTATATTCCTTCATTGACGCATTATTACATTTTCTAAACTCCTCCATGAGACATTTTTCAAGATTTGACTACATTTCGTCCACAAATGACAGATTCTCAACTTTATCAGTTTGGTGTCGCACCCAGAATAGTACATGCCATTGTGCGCAACGCCGATGTAAAAAATTTATCTCTGCACCGACCAGTCCGGCGGACGTCAGCTTCGGGTCCGAGTCCGCCTCGAGTCTGTGCGGACCTCCGCAGACCATAGTACGCCTGAGTATGTGGGGGCCTTTAATGGATTTGGCCAAGTGGATGGATTCCTTCATAAAAAAATCATTTCGGAATGAAAATGATTCGTTTTTTTATGTGTTTTTTTTTCTTTGCTCTGAATCCCGAGCAGAAAGCCATCAAATCTACATAATTATGTATTTGGTATTTGTTCATTTATTGCAAATCATATTGTCATCGCAATATTAAGCACCAATATCGCACATCGCAGATTTTCCTATCGTGCAGCCCTAGTTTTGATGTTTATATTTCCAGAAGAAAAATATCAGCAAATCTCCTTACTGCCCTAAAGAAAAAGACATCTAAAGAGAAATACACAAAAATCTAAAGGCCCAGTTTACACAACGTTCGTTTCGTTATTAACGTGGATTTTCGAGTGAAATCGTAGCTTTTTGCTTTTATATCTTTCTGAAACCAAACGTTTCTGAATTCATGTCTTAGGTGGGTTTTGCAAGGCCCCCTGCTGAGGTGACAGTCACTGAGCGCTCTACCTGCAGCTGCAGTTAATAGTTTGTCTGCGCAAACAGCAGAACAGTGAGTATCAGCTGCTAGTAAAGTTCAGTTTGTCCTACCCTAAAATGCCCTTTTTCAGCACTTCCCACCTCTGTTAATGTCCACTGTTTAATTATATATTTTACTACCAAACACAAATAGGTAAGTACATTTTCTCCCACCACCATGAAAGGCAGGCAAATACTGAATCTGCAATAGTTGAGTTTCTTACACAAAGACAAAAAATAGTCTTCTGATTCTTGTTTTTGAACTTCAGATGTAAAAAATCCCACTTTCTCCACAGAAACACACCAATAGATTTTATCAATTATCTTTTTAAACTACTACTGTGTGTGTGTAGTGAGCATTTTTAAGTGAACTGCTAAGGAAAGTAGAATCAATCTACAGTTAGGTCCATGTCTATTTGGACAATGACACAAAGTTACATTTTTTTACCTGTTTACTGAAACAAATTCAAGTTATAGTTATATAATAAATAAGGACATAAAGTCCAGACATTAAGGTTTCATTTGAGGGTATCACATTAAAATTGGATGAAGGGTTTAGGAGTTCAGCTCCTTAACATGTGCCACCCTGTTTTTAAACTTAGGGACCAAAATTAAATGGACAATTGACTCAAAGGCTATTAGACTGCAGTTGTAGGAATTCCTTCATTATGTCATTCTCAATAAAGCAGACAAAAGGCCAAGAGTTGATTTGAGGTGTGGTGCTTGCATTTAGTAGATTTTGCTGTGAAGAAAACATGCGGTCAAAGGAGCTTTTCGAGGAGGTGAAAGTGATCCTTAAGCTGCAAAAACAGAAAAAACCCATCCAAGAAACTGATATAAAATTAGGAGTGATAAAATCTACAGCAGGGCTTTTCAACTAAATTCCTCTGGGGGCCCAGTTCCTACAAACCAACAGCTCAGGGGCCACACATCCAGCAATTAGTCATATAAATAAAGTAATAATAAATTAATAAATAAATAAAGTGTTACCTTTGGAACATTTTATTTTGCTGCATTTAACCATAATTACAACATACGGAGCCCTATAATACAAGTAGTGATAATTAAACAATATCAAAAACAAAAATAACACTTTGTCTCCTATTTGACACAAATATTATTTTGACAGCTCTGACTTGCCAATTTTTTAAACCAATTTTATTTTCACTTATATAATTTTATCTTCAACTACTTGAAATTTTAACTGTCTTGAGTAGGGCTGCCATGATTAGTCGATTAGTCGACGACTAATCGATTATTAAAATAATTGATGACTAATTTAATAATCGATCGTTTTTTGTTGTTGTTTTTTTTTTTTGTTGTTCTTTACTTTGTTTTTCTCTCCAAACTGCTTTGACACCTTCCACTGCCACATCTGCCTTTCTGTCCTTGACACACATGCACAGTAGTGGTAACTGGGGTAGGCCGTGGACGTCACAAGACATTATACAGACAGGCTCTGGTGTCATGGGTACCTGCCAACGGAGATCAAAATTGTGGGATCTTTTTAAGAAAATGAAAGAGAAACCTGTACAATATCTGCAAGGCAGAACTTGCCTTCCACAGCAATTGTTTTTAGTTAGCATATAGCTAAAATCTAACGAGGGTTATATTATAGCAGCTGCATTCTGGCACGATAAGCTGTACGTTTTTTATTCAATTAACATATGATCCGATTAGTCGACTAATCAAAAAAATAATCGGTGATTAATCAATTATAAAAATAATCGTTTGTGGCAGCCCTAGTCTTGAGTATTCATAGAAATGTTTTTACCAGGTTCTAGCTAAGATTCTGACATTTCTGTAGATACCAAACAGGTCTATGTCTAACTAAAATAAGTTATAGTAATTCAAGTAGAAAACTGGAGGTTTGGGCTTAAGAGATGAGTGAACCAATGGGCGGGTCGAACTCTGGTCACTGGACCCCCAGTTGAGTAGCCCTGATCTACAGTTTGCTATATCATGAAAAAGAAAAAAGCACTGGTGAACTCATCAATGCAAAAAGACCTGGACGCCAAAGGAAGACAACAATGGTGGATGATGGCAGAATAATCTCCATGGTGAAGAGAAACCCCTTCACAACAGCCAACCAAGAGAAAAAAACTCTCCAGGAGGTAGAAGTATCAATATCCAAATCTACCATAAAGAGAAGACAGCATGAATGTAAATACAGAGGGTTCACTGAACGCTGCAAGACACTCAGAAGCCTTAAGTTTAAAAAAGGCTCGATTGGACTTTGCTAAAAATAACAATTAAAAAATCCTGCACAGTTCTGGAAGAGCATTCTTTGGAGATGAAACCAAGATCAACCTCTACCAGAATAATGGAAAGAGAAAAGTCTGGCGAAGGTGTGTTACAGCTCATGATCCAAAGCACCACATCATCTGTAAAACACAGTAGAGCAGTGTGATGGCTTGGGCATGCATGGCTGCCAGTGGCACTGGGTCACTAGTGTTTCTTGATGCTGTGACACAGGAGACAGCAGCCCAATGAATTCTGACGTATTCAGAGCCATACTGTGTGCTCAGATCCAGCCAAATGCAGCCAAACTGATTGGTCATCGTTTCATACTACA